GTATTGCTTTATACCCACAAGGAAGAGACAGTGTGATAAAACCACTGTCAAGAAGCAATAAGCTTCATTTTGACATCATTTGAAGCAAAATCTGCCAAACAAGAACAAAAGGCAGGACTAACATGGCAATCCCTTTGAAATCAGATCCAATTATATGGTCAATAAAAATCATGATAGTATCAGTTAACAATACATACTCTTGTAGACATTACTTAAAATTGCACAATTTTCTGATTGTGATTACTAAGCTGAGGTTATTTAAGAATATGACTATTTTTAGAAATGCATACTGAAATACGAAGGATATGGCAGCGGGGAGGTTTCCCATGCTCTCGTGGGTGGTTCAACACCCATGCACATTTGGGCAGCACTAACTGGACTCAGTGAGTTATCAAAAAACAAAGAACATGAAGTTGTGAGGGAATGGCTCAATGAAGGAGGCTGGGGAGTTCAGAAAGAGAAACAGAGGTGAAGAAAGCATCTCATTGTATATGTATATAAAGCTCTCGAAGAAAAATTTAAGAAAAAGAAAGTGCATCCCTGGAAGTCTAAAATAGTCTAAAATTACTGTTATATATTAGACATTTTTATTTTATGTACATTGTCACTCGACTGCATATATGTCTATATGAGGGGTTCAGAGACCCTGGAACAGGAGGTAGAGAGCTGTGAGCTGCCATATAGGTGTCAGGAACTGAAAATTTGCCCTCTGTATGAGCAGCTAATGCCCTTAACTGCTGAATCATTTCTCCAGCCACTATAGTGCATATTTTTAAGAAGAAAAATATGTAAAATATAATGTTATGCTGAAAATACGTTAGTGTGTATTGAGCATTGTCTTTTTCATGCCTTAACTTAAAATAATGAGCATGCTCTTTCCTCTCTCTTGGTGAGTATTTTTGGTCTCCAGCTAACATTTCATTCTTTGCACTTTGAACACGATAAAATATCTCTGAAATCGTAAGTTTTCATCACTATCATTTTCTCAGCGGCATCTCCACCCTTTCTAACACAACCGCTGTCTCCATTTTCACTGCTGAGTCCACCTGAACGAAACTTCTGGCTGCAAACCTAGATACAATCCCTTGACATGACAGCAAAGGCAACATTTTCATGGAGAGTGTTTGTTCTGAAATACCATTTGCTTCCAATTCGAACTTTGCTGCTAAAGTTTTCGTTTTTCATTCTTTTTATGGTACTTTCATTTTATTCATTTACCCATTCGTATAAAATGCCACATGGATTCACTGAGAGACAATGAACACCACAAGCACTCCTTTGCTCCCTATGGATGCAGGGGCCAATCATTTGAACTGGAAATACTGGTGATTGGTCATTAATGGTGATATATACCTATCATTATGTAGATATTGAAGATAATGAGATAGAAATGTAGTTTGTACTCAGCAAATAGACTTTAGAAGCTGAAATTTGAACACCATTGTTCAGATAAACTGATATCATTTAATTACATCATAGGAACTGAAATCAAAGTCTACTGGAACCACAACAGAATGGAATACTTTATCCTTTGTAAAATAAGTCACAGTTGCATGTTAGTGGTATTAATCTGATACTGAGTGCCTCCCTTGATAGCAAGTACCATAAGAACACGAACCACAGTAACTTTTGTTAGCAACTGTATACTTCATGTGGATTTTTAAAATAGTATCTCAAGTGTCACAACCCAGTAAGATACTTACTGTTAAGCTTATTTTATACATGAAGATTTTGAAGCAGAGAGAAATTAAACAATTCATTTTTACAGAATCAAATAGATACTTCAAAATTCAAGCCCTGTGCTCAGTACTTAAAGCATCTAGATCAACCTAGCAGAAATGCAGCATAGTCAATGAGGAGTCCTTCGCAAGCCACAGAACCATGTTTCCTAAAAAAGCTACATTCTAAGTGAAAGCAAAAATACAACAAATATAGTGAATCTGAAAAAATATGTTACAAGTTTCTACTTAAATTATAATCTTAACCTCAATGCCAAGGATTTAGAAAAGTTTACATTTGCTTTCTCCAAACTTCTAAATAAAATGTTTATTAAATCTGTGAAAGATGAAGCTAACAAATACATTGACCAAACACAAAATGATATTTTCTAGCCTTGGGGGTTTAAGTATGATGTCTCTGTAAGCAACAGGGATGAATTAAGAAGTACATCATTGAATTACATTAACACTCGTATAATCCAAAACTGTAAGAAGCTAACTGGGAAGGAGGAAGAGGGTTTGACTTAGGACTGTTTGGAGGCCAGGATAGGATGCAGCAGAAGTTGGGGAATGATAAAAGAGAGTATCAACATAAACATAAACAAAGAACAATGGTAAAAATAAATAGAAATGTCATAATGAAAACCATTATATATTACACTAACAAAAATTGTATTTTTTTATTGATTAATTCAATTTAAATCTCAGTCATAGGTCCCTCCCACCTCTCCTCCAAGTCCCACCCTCCCTCCTGCACCACCCCTTCCCTATTTCTCAGAATAGGGGAGCTTCCCTACCCAGATACACCAGTTTATCTATTCACATGAGGGCTAAGTTTGTCTCCCCCCCCCAACCCCCGTGGCTTTGTAAGGAAGTCCCATCAGGGTGAAGTGATCAAAAAGCAGGCAACATAGTCCATGTCAGAGATATCCCCACTCCCCTAACTAGTGGGCCCACATGAAGACTAAAACTCCCATTGGCTACTTATAAGTAGAGAACCGAGGTCCAGACCATGCTTGGTTGGTGCTTCAGACTCCATTGGCCCCTTTGGGCCCTGGTTGTTTGGCTCTGATGGTCTTCCTGTGGAGCTTTTTTCACCTCTATGTCCATTTATCCTTGTCTCCTCTTTTCCTGTATGCTTTGCCCAAGGTTTGGCTGTAAGTCTCAGTGTCTGTTTCGAAACCCTTGCTGGGTGGAGCCTCTTCAGTGGGTGTGTCTTAGGGTTGGGCCTGTCTCTCCCCCTCAGTCTCTGCTCTGTCTGTTCTATCTTTGTCCCTGCAAGTCTTATAAGTAGGATAAGTTTTGCATTGAGGTTTCTGTGGATGGATTGCTGATCTCCACCATCCACTAGGAGTCTTGTTTCATGTCTACATGGCTCCTGCTACTAGAAGTCTTAGCTAAAGTCCCTCTTAGATACGCCCAGAGACCTATTCTGATTTAGGTCTGATCTCCACCCTTATTTCTGTCTGCACTGCCTCTTCCACCTTGCTCTCACTCTTCAACCACCACCTCTGTCTATTCAATTTCCCCTTCTGAGTGAGGTTTATGAGTTCTCCCTTCAGTCCTCATTACTTATCTTCTTGGGATCAGTGCATCTTAGTATGCCTATCCTGTACTATATTACTAACATCTGCTTCATCATGTGGATGAAGGAGGTGGGGGGAGAGGAGCACAATAGATACATTATTCAAAGACATGTCCCTGTTGATCTATTTCCTCCAAACAGTCTCCTTCTCCTCCTATTATAGGGAGGCATCACCTCCCAATGATGCCTTCAAATCATAACCCTGCCTCAGCCTCCCTATGATTCCCATTCCATATGGCTGTACTATTTATTTCCCATAGGCCTTCATTATTATTTAGATAGTTTATATTTGTATTAAACAAAGTTTCTATTCATGTGGAAATCTGGGGAAGGCCAATTTATTTTGTCCCAATCATTTATTTGTCTATCCCTTCACCACAAGAACATTAACTCTTAATTAATTGAGTCTTAACTCTTTACAATTCTCAGGACATTTGGGTGATATCCAGCTTCACTGTGCTTCAAGAGGTCAAGAGTTTTTTGGTTACTGTAGGGTGGTGCACACCTGTGATGCCAGGACTCAGGCAGGCAGATCTCTGTGAGTTTGAGGCCAGCCTGGTCTACAAAGCGAGTCCAAGACAGCCAAGGCTACACCGAGAAACCCTGTCTTGAAAAACGAAAAACGAACCAAACCAAAAAAAAAAAAAAAAAAAAAAAAAGTGTCTTGGTTATTTTCTTCCCTTTCATTTCCATATACGTCTTAGAATAAAGTTATCCCCTCTCCCCCTTTGCATGTGAATGCAAACATGTTTTGAGCGGAGAGCACTGACTATAGGCCACTTCGGGAAGAACTGCCCTGTAATAACATAGCATAACCCTGGTTTATTTGATCTTCAATGTATTTTAAAGGTGCTCTAACTAGCCAATAATGGCCCAGCCGTCAGGCTCAATGTCGTGTCAGGTAAAGCCTTGGGAATGAATTGTAGCAGACCACTACCGTCTATCAACCAAAAGCATATCATAAACTATCCTTACCTAAAGCCCATGGTACAAGCGTCCCCTGCTTTGCTGTAATCTACGTATCTCCTGTTCTCCCCAAGAAAATGCCTGAGAAATGCTTTCTTTGTCTTTTGTTCTTTGATTGTTGTGCAATTGCTTTTATACTGAAACATGTTTTTCAGGCCAACTTGAATCAATGCTCCCTGGCCATAGTAATTATTACTTAGTTCAAAATAAACGCTGTCTTAGTCCCACTGAGATGATGAGATGACAGTTGTTTTACCTTTACAGTTTCCAGCAACTATTAGCTTATTAAATTAATGTTTTCCCACATTTTATTTTTCTATGTATGTAACACATCTATGAACTAACATTTTTATTCCCTTCATTTTTTATATTCATATTATTTTCTCATTATATCGAATAACACACCATCACTTGAATCTGAGAAATATGCAGTTTAAGTTGTAAATTCAATAATAATCTGCTACTGCACTTGATCTCGTTACTGCCTCACGTACTACCTTCCAGCCTCTTTTCCAGGGAAGAGTCCTGCAATTTCTCCTAGGCTGGATGAAGCTGAAAGCAGACTTTCTCCTTGGAAAACTTAGGGTTTCCCTAGCCTGAAGCCGCCTTGGGAACTAGCACAGCGGCCCGCCTCCGTAACCCCGCCCTCAAACTGAATCAGCCAATCACTGTTAGAATCAGCAACCCCGCCCTTAGGCGGAAGCAGCCAATGAGCGGCAGCGTCTTTTGCGCGCCCTACTTGCAAAGATGGCGGTGCCCGCTGTCTCGCTTGTTTGCAGAGCTGTTGCACAGATCTTCCGTAGCACAATGTGAATGCGGCGAGAGGACGGTGCCACAGGAATGAGCCGGCGAAGGAAGCTTGCGGACAGCCCTGCCCGGAGGAGCACGCCGCGCAGGGCGGCCGCGGAGAGCCTCTGCTCGGCGGTGGAGCCGGAATCCCGGTCGTCCAGGGCGGCCCGCGACTCCCGGCTCTGCAGGGCTGCAGCGCGGCTCCAGCGGCGGGAGCATCGCCGGGCGGAGGCCGAAGGCGGGCGGAGCCCCGGGGGTGAGGACCGGGCCGGCGGGAGCGCGGCGGGGCGCAGCCCGGAGGTGGGCCGGGCCGGAGGCTTCCTCCGCGGAGCGCGGTCCCCGGGCGGGACTACCCTGGTTCTGGGCGGGCTCCGCTCCCTGGGCCGTACCGGAAATCAGGCACTTGCACCTCCGCCTGTGTTTGTTTTTGCGATTATTTGCTTTACAGAAAGGGCCATCTCAGCTTGCTCCCGGAACTTGCTAGGTGCAACATCCGGTTAGGATAGCAAACCAGTGGGGCGTTTCTTCCTGATAACTTTTGGGGTTCAAGATTTCTAACTAAATACAGAGTGACCCATAACCTTTCCTGGAGTGCGTTCTTAACATACAACGTCTCTCACCTTCCTCTGCTATGACTGAACAAACCTGGGAAAGAACAGTAACATTATAAAAATCAAGTGATTTTAGACAGAACTTTCCTAGAAATAAATCACTAATGTGTTCTGGAATGGTTTCAGGAGAAACTGTGTAGATTTGATAGGAGGGGATTACGAGGATTTAACTGGGGTTTCTGTTGGGATACATTTGACATTTGCCGAATGTCTGCTGGCAGCATGGTGGTGATAGGAACTCACTGACCAGGTGGTATTATTCCTGGGTCTGTGGAATTTTCGAAAAACACTTCCTAACTACAGTGTTCATCTTATGAAATATTGAAACATTTCCATTGTGGTTAAAGTAATTGTCTTTAAGAGACTAGTTTTATATTGGACATAAACCTTGTGTAAACTATTATTTGACTTTAGCTCTTATTGAAGTAATGCTTAAACGTGACAATTGCCATTTTATACAGAAAAGTATGTGACACCAACAAGAGTTGTGAAAATGGATTTGCTATCCTGTCCCTTCAGTTCTCCAAGTGATCCAGATGGACAGACCGATATCTTCTGGGATCAGAATTCTCCAATGACAAAACAGTTAGGTAATATGTTTGTTTGTTTGTTTGTTTGTTTTTATGTGATTAGGTGTTTGATGAAGGATTACTGTTTGTAAATTTTGTTTTGATTTGTTTTTTTGTGTATGTTTGTTTGTTTGTTTTTCCAGACAGGGTTTCTCTGTGTGACCTTGGATGTCCTTGAACTCATCTGTATGGTTCCAGGCTGGCCTGGAACTCCCAGAGAACCGCCTGCCTCTGCCTCCCCTGTGCTGGGATCAAAGGCATACAATGCAGCCACAACCACCCAGCTGTGTTTGTGACATTTTAGTCTGGTAACATAGAAAACTTTAATAGAGTGTTCCCTGTTTTTTGTTTTTGTTTTTTTTTTTTTAATTTCATGTATGATTTTCTCTAATATCCACGATGTTATTGTGGAATCATTTAAGTTGCACAGCTTATGATCATTTCCTAAAAAGTGATGGCTGATTTTAATATTCTTGGTCTAAAATATAGAAATGTCTGTCTCATTAGGTAAAGGAAGAAAGAAACAGATTTCCAGTACATGCAGTGATGAGATTTCACATATTGTTAATCGAATTGCTCCCCAGGTAAATAAGGCGCGTTTCATGATTTGTAAAACAGGAGAAAATGTGTGCTGCATGCTTGTGTGGTGCTTCCGTATTGAAAATAGCGTACTTAGGGCAACAAAGCCTACATTTAGCCTTTCTGTTTTTCAGTGCATGTCTTGAAAACAGGAACAAACTATAGAATGAGTAATATAGTCATCCCTCAGTATCCTTCAGTCATGGTCATATGACCTCTTTGGATACTCAGATTGGCAGAGTCTGAAATTCCTTATATAAGGTGGTATGGCTTTCATGGTAACCTGTGCATATCGGCCCATATATGTAATATGTATATGATATATGTAATATGTATATGATACATACATACGTATCGTACATAATTTATGTATATATACAGAATATATATATGTGATATATATGATATATGTATGTAATATATATTTTATATATACATATAATATATATACGTATATACTTTGTATATATTTCTTTTGGTAGTGCTGGTTTGAGTAGAACTCAGACCCACGTACTCATGCTGGGCAGTTGTTCTCCCACTGAGCTATGCCTCTACCCCCTCTCATATATTTAAGTCATCTCCAGGTTATTTATTCTTTAAATAATGTGGTTAGTTGCTATGCTATTCTGAAGTTCTAGTGTTTGTTTGTGTTAGTGTTTGTTCACTGTCTGTAGTACAAATTTTCGCTTTTGCAGTTGTTCTTCTTAGTAGTCACTGACTTATAAAACCATCAAGAAACACTAACATTGGGGCAATCTTTGGATTTAGATGTAAGCCTCCTGAAGCCTCTTCTGCTGTGGCTCCCAGTGAGTCAGTTAAATGCTCCTAACCTCAGGTTATTCAACCATAAAGTAGAATGGCCTTGCTCTCTTATTAGGATTCAGTTATAATAAACTATGGAGTACTATAAGGTTGTTAATTATGGTTTACTTTTTGTAATGGATTCATTTTCTTTACAAAAACCTGTTTTATCATTGGAGAATTCCGATCCCAGAAGGTATCACTGCTGAGCATTTGCCAGCAAAAGTGAGTCCCTGGGTTTGAGTTCCAGCACTACAAATAGACACACATAAACACACACACGTGTGTGTATGGGAGGTAATGCACAGGTTACCATGAAAAAGCACACCACTTAATATTTGTGCTGCTTAAGTGAAATAAAGTTTCAATCATTTAACACAAGGGGTGCAGTAAATCATATTCCTTGTATTGATCCTGTCACTGTTAGTAAGAAATATGGGCCCAGAACATAAACTGTTACGAGTTTTTTTTCTTTCTTTTCCTTACATACACGTACATTTACATTTCTAAAAGTGTGCATGTGTGTGTGTGTATTTGTAGTTTGTTGTATATTTCATTATTTATACAACTTTATATATACATACATGAGCTCCCAAACCCACAGCATGTATGTGGAGGTAAGAGGTTAACTTGGAGGCGTCAGTTCTATCCTTCCACGATGTTGGTCTCAGAGAATGAACTCAGGTCATCAGGCATGGTAGCAAATACCTTTACATGCTGAGCCTTTTGCCAGCTCTTTTTTTTTTCTTATTTAGCATTTAAATTCAAAGAATATCTAAGTTTTGCTTAATGTTGTCTTTGAAGAAATTGTATTTTTAATATGCCCTATATTAACTATCCACAGCTGCCACTGATCCAAAATGGGGTTATAAGGAATCATCATGTCCAAAGAAAGCAGATAGGAAGTGAGTGCAACTTTTCTCTGTGGCTGTAAAAGTCCAGAGGTAATCAACAGTCAGTACAGCCTTGTAGCAACTAGCTTGGCTTTCCATGTTGTCATGCCGTAGGATTCATCGTATCAGCTCTTCGTTTCTTCACTGCATTTATGCCGTAGTTTGTTACTGTATATGTTAACAATAAGTCTGTCTTCATTAACCAAATCAAAGAAGCACAATCAAGCATGTTCTGGCTGAGCATCCTGGTTAGTGATACACGGTTGAGTGTACTGTTGGCTCCTTTACTAAGTGGGCTGGAAATCACCCACTTAGTGAAGACATGACAGCAGTGCACAAGTGGTGAACTGAGTCAAAGGAAATACGTTAGGATTATTCAAGTCAGTGTCTTCTGAGCATTCTTGAAGCAGGTCATTCTTGGCAGCATTAAGATCTCTTCACAATACAGATATTTGGGATTTCCTTAGTTATCTTCAAATCATTTAATTTCCTCCAAATGGCTTCAGATTTCAGCTTCTAAGACATGCATTTGCATATTAGACAGTCATTCCCTTTTCTGTAGTAGTATCTTCTGTGGTGTTTAAGTTGATATCTTTATTTTCATCATTTATCCAACTTCATACGGTGTGCTTAGTAAGTCGAATCGAAGGCTTCGATAACTTGTATGGCACCTAGAATGTACTTAGGAATGAGTGGCTTATATAGTAATCATAATTTAAAATAAGAACCTAGAAGTAGTACATAAACACACAAGACACTTGAGTAGATACATAAATTCGTCACTTTTTGAAACTTTGTATGAATTTAATTTTCTTGTAAGTGGACAAATTCATAATTAAATCATTAATGTTATTTAAGAGTGTTGTTCAAACAAATCAGAAAATATTGAGTCTACCAAAATTAACTTAAGTCTATTATTTTATGAAACTAAAGTTATGTAGAGTCAACTATACATAAAGAAAACTACCTGTTGATTCACTACCAAGTTATAGAGATCTTTTTACCCAAACCTTCAAGTAAGTAAATATAAAAATGTCCTTTCTTTTTTTAAAAAAAGTTTTGTTTTCTGGGGATGTGTGCATGCAGGTACACACTTTGTAAAATTTTAAGGACAACTTGTTTTAACCCATTGAGCCCTCTCCCTGGCTCAGCTCTAATTAGAATACCCTGAATCTAGTAATGAGGCAATATTTTTTTAATTTTATTTTTTTCTTATCAGTTACATTTTATTAACTCTGTATCCCAGCTGTATCTCGCTCCTTCATTCCCTCCCAACCCCACCCTCCCTCCCTCATCTCCACCGTGCCCCTTTCCAAGTCCACTGATGGGGGGGACCTCCTCCCCATTCATCCGATCCTGTTTTATCAGGTATCTTCAGGACTGGATGCAAAGTCCTCCTCTGTGGCCTAACAGGACTGCTCCTCCCTTGGGGGGTGGGGAGGCCAAAGAGCCAGCCATTGAGTTCCTGTTAGAAATAGTCCTTATTCCCCTTACTACGGGAAACCAATTGGTTACTGAGCTACCAAAGGCTACAGCCGAGCAGAGGTTCTAGGGAGGCAATTTTTTTAACCTGTATGATCTTTCTAGTTACTATAAAGAAGTAAAGATTGATTAGGCAATTTGGTTTGCCAGTTTAGTATATAACAGTGGTTCTCATCCTTCCTAATGTTGTATGACTCTATAATACAGTTTCTCATGTGGTAGTCACCTCCAGCCATAAATTTATTTTTTGCTACTTATATTTTATTTGCTACTTATAATTTATTTATTTTTTGCTACTTCATAACTGTCATTTTGGTTATGAATCATAATTAAATATTTTTTGGAGATAGGGAATTGCCAAAGAGGTTGTGACCCACATGTTGAAAACCAGTAGTTTATTGTATAAAACTCATTTCATAACTATCTTTGTGATTAAGTGACTAAAAAATACACAAAAATATCCTAGTTTAAGTGACTCTTCATTTTAAGTTTTTGTGTGTTTGTCCATTCTTAGCTCTAGCTTTCAATGTGCTGTAAAATCTCTAATCAGCTTTGACATCACTTCTATCCATGTTCTCAGTTTAAGTCATTATAGAGCTCCTGGTGCACGCCTGTAATCCCAGCACTCAGGAAGGCAAAGGCTGGTGGATCTCTGAGTTCAAGGCCAGCCTGGTCTACAGAGTAAGTCTAGGACAGCTACAGAAAGAATTCTGACTATATTCTTATTTTCAGGTCTGATAGTTGCACAGTTTATTTATGGTTTTATGAGCATACTAAAATAACTGAAATGTTATTTTTCCTTTGATAAAATGTTCTTTTGTATGTATATAACATCAAAATGTATTTGATAGGCAATGTAGTTCAAACCTAGGTTTTTTATAAATACAGAATTCCTAAGGCTGAATATTCCTTGTTTTCTTGTGGGAGCATAAATGAATCATAGCTTCTGGCTTATTGCCTTTCTCCAGCTTTTCATTGTTGGAGTTTGTTGAGTGACTACCACAGAATTCTTCTCCCTTTCCATCTAGACTCACTCTTCTTCTCTCTTCTTGGGGAGGGGAATGTTTGCTTTATGGTGCCGTTACGCTTCTTTTTTCTTCTCTCTTTCAAAGGTTGAAAAACCAGTAACAAACTCCATGCTGGGTGTGTGGATTGGTGAAACTGCTATTCCTTGTACTCCTAGTGTAGCAAAAGAAAAGTCGAGAGTGAAAATCAGCTGCACAAAGTGAGTTCAAACTTCACCTTCTGTAATTCAGTGAGGCATATATTCTTACATTTTAGAGATTGAAATAAACTGAGATAGTAAACTCTTTTGTTTTGATACATAAAATTCTAGAGCTAAAAATGTTATTCTAAGAGTTAAACTTTGGTGTTTTGTCATCACACCAAAATATACTAAAGGATAATTGATTAATTCTTAGACAGCTTTTCAACTAAAATGTTTCAATGTTGTTTTAATAGGTTGAAAACACAAAATCGAGAAAAAGAACTTATAAAATTGGCTAAACAGTTTGATAAAAATATGGGAGAACTTGATGTGATTCAGGAACAAGATGGGAAGGATCCTGATTTTATCCAGACAACTTTAGAAGTGGGACATTTGTATAATCATAAAGATTCTATACAGATGGAGTCAGGAGATACCGTTCCTGAAGTCAGCTGTGCGCTAATAAAGAAGCAAATGGAAGGAAACACTGGGATATCTGTGTCAAAGGATCAAGACAACAGTGAGAAACCCTTTGACCAAAATGTTGAAGCAGACCTTAATGCTATTTTTGATGGCTCCACTCAGATGTGTAGTGGACAGCTAAGCCAAGATCTGTCAGATGCTTTCCTGAACCATGGTAAAACTACCTTTGGAAAGGAAAATGCCTTAATAAAAGAGGAAATCATTACTGCTGAAACTCTGAAACTACAGGTCACTGAAAACCTGCTAAATAAAACTCCAGTATCACCTTCCTCTCAAGTACATACTGCTGTAATGATCAAATCATGTGTGACTCCCTGTGCTAAGATGGCAGAAGCATCTAATAAACATCTTGATGAGTTGACTACTCATGATTTTGAGGATGACTGGGAAAGCTTACTAGGCAATGATCCATTCATTATGGAAAATGCTGAAATGCTTGACCTCTTACCTTCTACAACTGCGCAAGCTTCTGGTCAGAAGGCAGTTAGTACATTTATTGGTAAAAATGATACAATCACATCAAGAGCAAATACGAATCTAGAAAGGTTAAGAGATTCAAAAGTAACACTGGGTCTTCCTTCAGAGACTTGTAACAGAGAATTGCTTAATGCTGGACAATATAGATTCTCACCACATCCAGGTAACGAAGCCAGGAAGTTACCATTCACTGGAAATAGAGTGAGGTTTGAGAAATCTGCCAATAACATTGTTAGTAAAAACGGAGATTGTCTTTCTGTCTCTAATCTTACAGGAGTAAAAGAAGATGGTCGTGGAAAGTGTGCATTTAATGTGCATGCCTCTGACAAGTCTGGTTTATACACAAAATTCCCTAATGAACAGAAAAACAGGGTCAGTGTTAACCTGCCTTTGAAAGCACCTACTAATACTTACCGCTTTGATTCTGTATCCCTGGGCAAAGAAAACAGTGTTTGTAACATAAATCAGACTCGTGGGCCAAAATTCAGTTCTTCCCTTGATGACTGGAATGATCCGCTGTTGGCCAGTGAAATGATTAAAGCATGCCATCAGTTAGAGACTACCTGGGAAGCAGATGATGTAGATGATGATTTGCTGTATCAGGCATGTGATGACATTGAAAGACTAACTCAGCAAGAAAACAAGGGCAACAACAAGTCAGAAATTATAAATAACACTTCCAGACATGGATCCAGAAATACTTCTGCTTCATCAAAACAAGGAAGTCAGTTGACACCATCTAAATACTGGAATCTTGTTGACTTTGCAGCACCATCATCTTTAACAAATAAATCACAGATAAATAAATCTGTGACGGTGAAGAAAAGAGACTCCAGTGGAGACTGTCCCAATATTTTGGATGCTACCACACATTTTTCTATGTCCTCTAAGAATTCGAGTATACCGGTACAGGTGGATAGCTCAAAATTTGTTCTTGCAGAGAGTTCAAGTTTTAATGTTAGTTTGGGTCCTGCGAGCACAGATATTGCTGCTAATGTGAAGCCAAGTATACATCAGCCATCTCACAACACCTTAACAAGTGAAGTTCAGAATGACAACAGAGTAGTGAAGTTTTCCAAATACTCCTTTAAGACCAAAAATCCTCAGGTTCTTTCTCAGTTAAATCAAAATTGTATAGCAGGAAGTGTGCCTGTTAGAAACCTCTTGCAGGATTTAGGAAAAAAGGAAACTGTCAGCTCACTGCTTGAAGATAATCAACAGAGATCTTCAATGAAGTATTCGGAGTCTTTGACATTGTCTTCCACAGGTATGTATGAAATCATTTTCTTTGAAATGTATTAATACTAGTTATTGGTTTTCACTAGCAGGTACTAACTAGCATCTGATATAAAATTCAGTGGCTGTTGTGACAATTTATGAGTTCTTTGATGCAACTTTTTTTGTAGTTCTTCCAATCCATCTTTTCTCTGATTTTTATTCTTCCAATAAATTCATTAATCACACTTCAAAAATTGTGTCTTGAAACTCTTCACCTTAAAATACTGCTATCAGAAACTCCTGCCCATTGCTTGTATTTTAAAGTGTCTTACCTGATTTCTAGTAGTTCAAACAGATCTTACATTATTATCATTGATCCGTATTGAATTGGTTTTTATAAAGGATGAGAGACATTTATCATTTAAGATTTTTGTTTGTCCTTCAACTTTAAAGGATAATTTTGCTCTGTCTCTTTCTCTCTCTATGTGTATATAGTAATGTTGGTTGATGGGCCTTTTTTTCCCTGCTATTCTGGGAGGTTTATCTTTGCATGTAACTTAGTACTTTTGTCTGCTTTCAATGTTTCTTTCCCTAGATTTCGGGAATTTTCTTCTTTAATTCTATTGAGGGAGCTTTAAATGCCTTTAGTATGTTCCTCTCTTAAACTATGTAAATGTTTAGGCTTGGTCTAAGGTATTACATGTTGTGATCATTTTTAAATTGCTTTTGGAATGTAATTGCTGAGAAATTATTTCACCTCTTTTATCTTCAAGTACTTATGTTCTTTGTCTTGAAGGATTTTTCTATGCATATAAAAAGGTGTGTTTCTATATCTACTGATTTATTTAAATAGATGGGTGGGATGATACATGCTTAATTTTGTATTTCCTTAATAAATTAGAGCTGTCAATTCTTGCTAGTGCCTGTAGGTTTCCTTTAGTCCTTCTAGTGTCAGCAAAGTGTAAATTGTTCCTTGTTTGTATTAGATAAGAATTGTTTTTAAATTTATGGAGCTTGGGTTAGGTGTTTGGTTTGTTTGCAATTACAACAGTTTAGTAGAAATTTTCCTTTTATACAGGTTTCTGAACCTTGTGTGATTATATTTGCTCATTCCTAAAAATATGATGTAAAAGAATGTTATGAATTTTGACAAATATTACCAAATTTCCTTCCAAAAAGCTAGATAAATTGTGATATTTATTAGTACTGACAATGAATATTTGTCTATGTTACAGCCTAATGTCTCTTGAAACGTTAAAAATTGTTATCAGTCTATTATAGTTGTAAATATTGTAAGTTTATTTTAAAGTGACTACTATAATTAATTGGGTGAAGTTTCTGAAATGAATTTACTGCATATTCTTTGATTTTAAGTACAGACTTATCTCTGTCTTCATTTTTTCGTAGATGTATAATTTGCCTTTTTTCCTAGTAGTTTCCTTGAAGATGTGCATATTACAACATAAGGGCTAACCAGTAAGTTTTACGTAAATGTATATTAGGGTTATGGTCCTAGATACTATGCATCATTTAAGAGAGTAGTTTCTAATCTAAAGCTTCAACTTAGTAATACATGCATACACACACACACACACACACACACACACACACACACAAAACAGAGAGACACTTAAAAATTTTCTGCATGATACATTCTCCAAATAAAAATAAGTTAAAAATGGCCAGTGTTGCCAGGTCTTTGTGATAATTAACTCAGTCCTGTGTGCACAATAATACTTAAGATGTGACTACGTTGAAACTCTTTATAAAGTTCATGTGACTTCTTCTGTAAAGATGGGTTCTATCACTACATGTGACACCTTCCATAAGGATAGGTTCTGTAGATTGACAAGCTCATGTTAAGGGTCCCAGGAAGTATATGGTGTGGTCAGCACATATAGTGCCCGGGTCGCCAGGCAATTAACCGTGGCAGCTCCCAGTCTTCGGGGCAGATAGCAGGTTATGCATCCCTTCCTTCCTTTGAAGGAACAATCCTGTGAGTTTAAGATACCTGTTCCAAGGAACTTATCTGTGAGCGCAAGGACTTCTGTGCTTCCCACACAATTGGATTCGAAAGATTTCATTCTGTCACTCTAATCTTTTTCTAGTATCTGAAATGTAAAACTTGTGACTCTTTTAATTTTTTGAAAGTACTTTTTATTATTCATCTTCCTGTCATAGCTATTTGGAGTCTTTTGGTTTGTTTTGTTTTGTTGAGACAGGGTTTCCTTTGTGTAGTCCTGGAGGTCTTGGAACTCACTTTGTAGAGCAGGCTGGCCTCAAACTCAAGAGATCAGCCGGCCTCTGCCTCCTGAGCTCTAGGATTAAAGGAGTACACCACCTCCTTTGCCTTCCTCTTTTTTTCCTAGACCATTACACAAAATGGCCTTGAATTCAGTGTGTAGCTGCAGGCAGTGTTTACAGATAGTCTTTTCCCTCTCATCTCCAGAGTATTTGCATTTCAAGCATAACCCACCACTCCCAGCTATATTTAATGGATTGATAGACAGTTTAATTCATAATGTTTTTACCATTTATCAATATTTATATAACATTTAAAAGCTCATATTAAAGAAATTTGTATAGTCATAGGTTTTAATCAACTTAAAGTTTTGTCATACTTGAATGTGGGCATTGGGTGGGTCCTTGGCAACCTCTTCACCTAGAATCATTCTATCATGTAATTGTATATGTAATAGTTCTGTTTAATAGTCAAACCAGCGTGATGAAAAAGCAAAGCTTGTATTACATATTAAGAATGACTTATAGGTTATAAGATTAATTCCTATGCTTTGTTTTAATTTTTAGATGAAGAAGAGAGAAATAGGAAGTATTCTCCTGAAGAAATTCAAAGAAAAAGGCAGGAAGCACTGGTTCGAAGAAAGGCCAAAGCACAGGCATGGCCTCCTGTGCATTCCACTCCAGTTTCACTGCTTTGATGAAATTTGAGTTAGATGGTTTCACAACTACTGATAACTATCTGTGATAGGACTTTTGTTCTTGATTTCTCTGTGAGAAATTTAATGCTGACTTAAAGCATGAGCTTCTACTTTATTATTTAATAAATCAGTGTTTACGGTGGTAAATGAAACTTACTCAGATATATGTGAATTATGTATAAGTTCTGAAAAGTTATCACTTATGTATATATAGAGGGGAAAGGTCTTTATTAAATATGACAGATATCATCAAAAATAGACAGCTGTAAAATATCTGTAGAAAGGCTTTCTGTAATCAAAGATTAAAAGTACTAAGTAAACAGCAACTTAGTTTTGAATTATCATTTACAATTACTTAAGTTTTGTTATACATTGCCATGTTTTAATTAATATCCCCATATTCTTAGTGGCCTTGCTGAAAAGTAAAGAACTTCTTGTTTATTTTAAAGAAAATTGTTTTTAATTGCTAGCCAGAAGTAGGTTTAAGTTTTAAGTTTTCTAACATGTGATTCAATTTGAAAACATTTTACTATTAGGAAAACCACAGAGTTGCAATAAGTCTAGTTTATTGGAAAAAGATTAAATTACATAAGTAATAAAGCATCATACACATTTAGAATTTTTGTAAGCACATATCCTCTGATCCAGATTCAGGCTATTCAAGCTCTTCTTTTTGTGTGAGTATTTGTGTTTGAATCAGGGTCTTGCTATGCGGTCCAGACTAGCCTTGAACTCTGTTACCCAGATGGCCCCAAACTGACTCCTGCGTCAGTCTCCTCAGTGCTCTAAATACACATGTATGTCACCATGCCCAACTCATGGTGTTAATTTTAAAGTCACAGACATGTTAAACCTGTGCCTATGTTAGAATGATTTTCCTGAACATCTAAATAGTTGCATGACTTGCTTCAGTCTATTAGTACTTAATAATTTGAGGGACTATTAACACTTAAATGTAATCTAAAGCACATTAAAGACTGCTTATTAATGTTGCTTATATACATTCTTTTAAAGAGTTAACTAATCTTTCCAGGATTCAAAATTAGACTTTCTACGCTCAGTTTGTTTATTATTGTAATTTTCCTTCTAATTAATTATTTAACTTGACTTTTTTTGCCTTTGTCATCCCTGCCCCCTCTTTGTGTTTTCAAAATGAGCCAGTAATAAAAGCCTTAACCAGAGGGGAGGCATATGGCAGTAAAGATGCTTATATTTTCTAAGTGGCTTTTAAGAGACATGAAGAAAATTACCGATAGGAAGCACTGAATCTTGGTGTTCACTACTGTTGAGGTGTCCGAGAGCTGTGACAATCTGAGAGCTATTATGTATCATTTTTCAAATGTTATTTTTATACACTAAAGCTGATTTCAGTTGTTCTCTCATATCAAGAAGTGTATTATAAAGACCTAAATAAATGCTGCACATTATTATGTGAGAAAGTGAAGAGACTTACAGTGAGCCTTCAGTCTGCTTTAAGTTTCTCTCTTTGCTCAAGTTCTCCCATCACTCGTTTTCTGTAGAATTATTTAAGTCCTTTATACTTAGCCTGGTGAGTTTGTTTCTTTGAAACTTACACCTGACCATCATTAGGCACTGGTTTTACTTTCTTTAAAATGAGCACCTTTCTATGAGTCTGGCCTTCCTGTCTAGTGATGCCTACACAAAGCCTGATTGAAAACTGGTCATCTTGTAGCAACATGGAAATTTCACATTTTGGAAAAATTATCCTTTATGAGCCAAATCATTTCCTCCTTTAGTAACACCAGAGCACCCCTTCCAGGGCTGGGTTTGGGAATAATCTCCAGCTTTCAAAGCCTTCTCCAGGGTTTATAGTCAGAATAGTGAAGCTTGTCCAGCAGGATGACTGTGACCCCACTGCCCTCAGGTGGTGACCAGTGTGCATCTTCATCTGTGTGTATTTCTGGTGTCTGACTGGGAGTAGAAGGGTGTGGATAACAACACCTTCAAGTCCCTGCCTTCCTGTGTTTCTCATGGACCAGGATTGCTGTAGAACTGCGCCTCACACCCTCGTCTACAAGAGTTTCATGTGCAGCAGTAGCCATGTTGTATTCAACACCAATCAAAACTTGTGTGAATGATGCCTGTGGTAGGACATTCCATTTGCAGCACCTACATCTGAGAGGTTTTAAAGTACCAGAGGTCTAAGGAATACAAGTCAAACATTCACTGATGATTAATCCTCAAGAAATCTATTTTTAAAATAATTCAAATCTTAAGATGTGGTGTGTGTAATGTTACCACTTATTAGAGATGAAAACAAATATACGAGGATTAATGTGCTTATTTATATCTTCATAATTAAATCTTGCCTGAGTAGTACTGTAAGACACGTTTTTTTACAGTCTTATTTCTCTGCTGTAGCCAATGTTTCTGTAAAGAGGAAACGTGTAGTTTGCACATTACATTTGTACTTTTAGTAATTCCATATGTCAGGAAAATTAAGAAAAAGTGGCTGTTCACAGATGTGTCTTGTAAGCACTGGCTCTGGAGGGACAAGTTGCTGATGGGCAGAAGAGATAGGTCAGATCGATTCTCCTGGTTCATACTTCTGTATGTTAATAGCTTGTTGGTTAGCTATTAAGGTACTAAAACTGATAAATGTCTATGGGGACATTTTATAATAAAACTAGTTATGATTTGAAAAAAGAAAAGATCAGGCGGAAACAAGACTGAATCCCATCAGGGCAAACACCAATATCTGCGGCTTGTGTTGAACCGTGGAGCTGGCAGTAGAATTAACTACGTGGGCTCCAAAGGTGGGAGCCCACACCTGTACCCCACTCCGTGACTGCAGCTCTTCTCGGTGTATGTCCCAACATTCTGGCATCACCAAGCCCCTGCAGATCCTCTCTACCCTTTCAGGGCCTTATTTCAAGGATCTTGGCGCTGCCAGGTAGCCCAGCCTCAGCCACTTTGGAGCCCTAATGCAAGACCAGGGATCTCGGTCCTGCATCTTTCACGCTTGTAAAACTAGCCCAATGGGATGATGTAGGCACTCTCCGCTGCGAGTTCAGAATAGGGCCTGGACCCTGTGGGTCACAGTTGCCTGCACTTCTGTGTGCTCACTCAAGGGAAAAACCGGAGATTTTCCAGAAACCCTTCTGCGGCATTCTCAGTTTAGCCTCTTTCAAACCAGTTTGAACTTTAATAAAATGGATTCCTCACTGGGTAGAGACTTCCTCTGCACAGCTTTCCTGTTGTGCCACAGCATTGTCAAGTGTGTCTTTAACAGTAACAGCTTTTGTTTTGTTTTTCAAGACAAAGTTTCCCTGTATATCCGGACTCTAGACCACACTGGCCTCGAACTCACAGAAATCCACCTGCCTCTGCCTTGCTAGTGCTAGGATTAAAGGCTCACACCACCACCACTAGGCCCAATAGTTGCTTTCTAAGTTGCCTTCCCTGTAAGGTTAAAATAACACTGTTTTCCTCACCAAATTGCACACCGGCTGTTTGACCTAGATCAGAACAATAAGCAGTAGCCATGTAACGATTTGAACACTACCCTGTCTCGAAATTTCTTCCGCCAAACAGAATAGGTCTTTACTCCTGCATTCATCTTCATTCCAGTTCTTGGGCCTTGGCAGAATGCATCCATTTATTCATTCATTCATCTACCTGCCTATCTACCTATGTTTAAATTTGACAGAGTATCATACAAATGGTCTTTAACACCATTTCAGTTGGAGCACTTGATCTCTGAAGGCTGATGAGCTGGGTCCCTCTGTCTGTATTTCTCTTAGCATTTTATTTTAGTCTTCTAAACTCTCATTACATTGGGCCATTAAAGTTTTGTTTCCAGTATGCTAGGACGTTTCTAGTACAGCGTTCCAATTTCTGAATTCTTCCCAAATATCTGGTTCGTGGTCACTTTATCACAGCAATGCCTCTAGTATTGATGTCAATATTCTCTATTAGTTACTTTTCTTCTTGTTACTAAACAACTGACAAGCAATTTAGGAAGGGTTTATTTACATTACTAGGAGATAATGTGTCATAGCAGGGAAAGTTCACTTCACAAGGCAGCTGGGTAGCTGGCCATTTTGTCTCCAGAGTCAAGATGAAGACTGAATAAAAGATAGAACCAGTCTGTAAGCCACCAGGAACCCCCACCTCCATACCCACTTTCTCTGACAGGCTTTGGTAGGATCCCCTAGGTACACCTGCATTCCAAACACTCTTGGTAAGTACTGTCTTTTTTATGTGGATGTTTGTTCCTTGTATCCCTAGTCTCTCCAGGACTTTTATCATAAAGAGATGTTAGATTTTTGTCAAAAGCCTTTCCTGTATCTAATGAGATGATCATGTGGTTTTCGTCTTTCAGGCTGTTTATGTTGTAGATTGTGTTTATTGATTTACATATATGGCATCATCTCTGCATTTCTGAGATGAATCCAACTTGATCATGATGGATAATATTTTTTATGTGTTCTTGGATTCCGTTAAAACATAATTTGTTGAGATTTTTGCATCTGTGTTCATGAGACATTTGCCTGTAATTTTTTGTTGTTGTTAGATATTTGTTTGGTTTTAGTATCATAGTAATAGCTTTGTAAAAAGAATTAGGAAATATCCCATCCGTTTCTACTTTGTGAATTAATTTAAGGAGTATTGGCCTTAAATTTCCATTGATGGTCTGGTAGAATTCTGTTTCTACTTCATTGATTTCAGCTCTGGAGTCACTTATTTCCTCCCATCTATTCTTTTTTGGTTATTATTTCTTCTTGTTCTAGAGGTTTCAGGAAGTATGCTTTCAGTTATTAATATGAGTTCTTACCAGTTTTTCTTCTGTCGCACTTAGTGTTATGAACTTGCCTCTTAGAACTGCTTTTCTTATGTCCCATAGGTTTAGATATGATGTGTTTTCATTTTAATTAAATCTAAAAAGTTTTTTAACTTTTTTCTTAATTTCTATCTTGCCCACTTTTTCATTCAGTGATGAGTTGTTTCGTTTCCACGTGTTGTATATTTCTGTTAGTTCTTTTTTTCATATTTAAACTTATTTTATTCTTTATTAATTATACTTTATTCACTTTGTATCTCCCCTGTGGTTCCCTCCTTCCTCCCATCCTAGTCCCTCCCTTCCTCCACCTTCTGCATGCATGCCCCTCCTCAAGTCCACTGATAGGGGTGGTCTTCTTTTCCTTCCTTTTGATCCTAGTCAATTAGGTCTCATCAGGAGTGGCTGCATTGTCTTCTTCTGTGGCCTGGTAATGCTGCTTCCCCCTCAGGGGGAGGTAATTAAAGAGCAGGCCAATCAGTTCATGTCAGAGACAGTCCCTGTTCCTATTACTAAGGAACCCACTTGGACACTGAACTGCCATAAGCTACATCTGTGCAGGGGTCTTAGGTTATCTCCATGCATAGACCATGGTTGGAGTATCAGTCTCAGGAAAGACCCCTGTGCTCAGATTTTTTGGTTCCTGTCCTCTCCAGATCTTACTGTTTCCCACTTCTTTCATAAGATTCCCTGCACTCTGTCCAAAGGTTGCCCATAAGTCTCAGCATCTGCATTGCTAGTCTGCAGGGCAGAGCCTTTCAGAGGTCCTCTGTGTCAGGCTCCTGACTTGTTCCCTCTTTTCTCCTTCTTCTGATGACCATCCTCTTTGCCTTTCTGGATAGGAATTGTGCATTTTATCAAGAGTCCTCTCTCTTGGTTAGTTTCTTTAGGTGTACAAATTTTAGTAGGTTTATCTCATATTATATGTCTATATGAGTGAGTATATACCGTGTGTATCTTTCTGCTTCTGGGATAGCTCACTCAGAATGATCTTTTCTGGATCCCACCATTTGCCTGCAAATTTCATGATTTCCTTTTTTTTTTTTTATTGCTGAGTAATATTCCATTGTGTAGATATACCACAATTTGTGCATCCATGCCTCCACTGAGGGGCATCTGGGCTATTCTGTTATTTCTGTTGATATTCAGCTTTAATCTGTGATGATCATACATGGTTCAGGATATTATTTCATTTTCTTATATCTGTTGAGATTTGCTTTGTGACCTAATATATGGTCAGGTTTGGAGACTGTTCCTTGAGCTCCTGAGAATAAATTTTATTCCTTAGTGTTTAGGTAGAATGTTCTGTAGATTTCTGCCAGGCAGGTCTATTAGAATTACGATGTTATTTAAATCTAGTATTTCTATGTTTAGTTTTTGTCTGGGTGACCTGAGAAGCAGGTATTAAAGTCACCCACTATCATTGTGTGAGGGTCAATATATTATTTCAGCTGTAGTAGGGTTTCTCTTATGAACTAGAGGGCCTTTCTATTTGATATATCAATGTTTAGGACTGTAGTTCCTCTTGGTTGATTTTTTTTTTCCCCCTTTGGTGAGTATGTAGCATCTTTCTTTATCTCTCTGGTTAGCTTAGTTTGAAGTAAGATATTGAAAGATATCTTATTTTGAAAAGATACTGTAAG